GCTTCGCACTTGATGCCAATCACAATTCTAAAACAACAGAAAAAAAAATCCTGAGGAAATTGAAATGACAAGCTCAATGCACAACAAAACAAACCCACTGTTATCGACAGCCTTGGCGGCGTACTTGATCTGGAAAACTCTACCTCATCCTTATTCTTTCTTCTTCTTATTCTTTCTCTTTCTCTGTCTCCTCGCTTCTTCTTCCTCTCTCAAACCCAGATCTGGGTTTGAGACAAACCCAGATCTGGGTTTGAGACAAACCCAGATCTGGGTTTCATCACATTAGCAATAATCCACCGGCATCAAGCAGCGACCATCACCAGGACCATCATTGACACCGATCTGAGAGATACTTGGTGGAACGCCACTCACGCGACCTCGAACCAGCATTTCGTCCGTTGAAGAGGCACAAGCAATGGTTTATTCGATGAGTATCCACAGCCTACTTCTCGAGATCTAGTAGTGAAGAGAGGCACAAGCAACGAATGGGCGAACGACTCCGACATAGCGGAAAAGAGCTACCGGCGGCGTTGTGGTTTATTCTCGGAGAATCCACAGGCGACTCCTGGAGAGGAAGAAGAAGAGGGAAGAGAGGAGAGAGAGAAAGAATAAGAAAAGTTAAAAAAAGGTCATGTGGACCCCATTAAAAGGGAAAGTAAAAAAAAATGATAATATGACGTGTAAAAAAATATGCCACGTGTATAAAAACATGCCATGGTGGCAAGATTTTATTTGTTGGATTTACATGTCATTAAAATTAAAAAAAATCAGTGATTTTGTGGCATTTTAACGTGCCACCTGTGCACTTAACTGACGGAAGGACCATTTCGGTACCAAAAATGAAAGTTTAAGGATAATTTTGGTACTTTTTAAAGATGAGGGACAATTTTGGTACCAAAGTGACAAGTTGAGGGACCAAAATGGTACTTAAACCTTAGAATAAAAGTAGGATTTGAAGCAGAATAGAAAAGTTGAAATTTGGATGCTGAACGCATGATGTTGACACCCCAAATTACGTATCGACACAAAACAAAAAACAGAAAGTCTAATTCTAAACGATTAACGTATGGTGTCAACTGCCAGATTATGTGTCGACACTACACTCACGTCAAGTTTCTGGCCTCCGTTTGCAATTTCTTTAATGATAAAATAACATATTTGTCCTCCAGATTTTGTAAAATGAGCACTTAGATCCCAAAACTCAAGATTCATTGATTATGGTCCCAAAGAGGTGCCCTTCTTCTTGCAATTCCGTCCCTCAACGTTTAAAAAATATTCAATTAATTCCAAAAACTTTTATTTTTATGCATTCAAGTCTTTTTCCGCACAAAGCATGAAATCCATGTAAAACTCAGTAAAATCTCATAAAACTCATCTGAATATCACTAACATCAAGGCAACAATTCCACATTAATATGTATACAAATTCAACTTATCAGAAACCAAACTATTACTTCATTGAATGGGAGATATGAATTGGGTTTCTTCGCACCAGGAAATTCTACTAACTATTATATAGGAATCTGGTATAAGAAACTTCCAGTTCAGACTGTAGTTTGGGTTGCAAACAGACATAATCCCCTCCTTGATCCTTTCTTTTCAAATCTTCGACTCTCTGAAAATGGCATCCTTCTCCTCTTTAATGAATCCGGAACCAGGGTTTGGTCATCTGCGTCATCAACAAACTCTGTAAACTCCAGTATTGCGGTTCTTGAAGACAGTGGAAATCTTGTTATAAGGGATGGGAGAAATTCCTGTGTCATTGTATGGCAGGGTTTTGATCATCCAACTCATACATGGTTGCCTGGAGCCAAGCTTGGATTGAACAAGCTTACGAAAGAAAGACAAATCTATTTTTCATGGAGGAATCCAGAAGATCCAAAACCTGGTTCCTTCTCCCTGGAGCTTGACCTGAATGGGACAAGGCAGTACTTCATAATGCAGAATGGGAACAGGCACTGGAATTGTGAGATTTGGCCTGGAAGAGTTTCAACCTTTGGTCCTGATACTCTAGCCAGCAATTACATAGACATAAACTATGTGTCGAATGAAAAAGAGAACTATTTCAGCTGTACTGTCACAAACTCTTCAGTAGTTGCAAGATTTGTGATGGACTTGTCCGGGGAGCTCCAGCAACTCATCTGGGATGATTATTCTCAGCAGTGGCGGGTAATCTGGTCACGGCCAAAGGACCACTGTGAAATCTATGCGTTTTGTGGAGAGTATGGAAGCTGCAATCAGTACAGTTTGCCTACTTGTAGATGCTTGAGAGGATTCCAACCAAGTGATCCTAAAGAATGGAATTCTGGGAATTATACACGTGTGAGGAATTCCGCACTGCAATGCGGCCAAGGTGGGAAAGATGGATTCCTGTTGGTTCCAAATATACGATTGCTTGCGAATTCAAAGTCCCTGAGTGTTAAGACATCAGAAGAATGTGAAGCAGCTTACTTGAGAAACTGTTCCTGCACAGGATACAGTTCTGAGGGTGAATGCTTGATGTGGGAAGAAGATTTGCTGAACATCCAGTATCTCTCATTTGGGGATAATCTTGGAAGAGATCTCCATCTCCGGCTAGCAGCAACGGAACTAGCTGCTTTGAGAGTGAAGAAAAAGGAAAGATCCTACCAGATCATCACTGGTGCAGTAGCAGGAGTACTAGTGAGCTTGATTACTATCTCTGGACTCATTTTTTGGAGGAGAAAGAAGGCTTGGTGTTATTAAGAGAGCAGAGGATATATTAGTTCCCTTCAAGTTCAATGACTTAAAGAGTGCAACAAAGAATTTTGCAGAAAAATTAGGTGAAGGAGGCATTGGTTGTGTCTTCAGAGGAACACTGCCTATTTCAGTTGCAATAGCTGTGAAGAGGCTGAGATGTTGCGGGGAAGGAGAGAAGCAGTTCCGTGCAGAAGTGAGCATTATCGGAACAATCCATCATTGATATCTTGTGCGCTTACGTGGGTTTTGTGCTGAAGGCATGAACAGGTTTCTCGTCTACGATCACATGCCAAACGGTTCTCTAGACAATCATCTGTTCCAAAAGGATTCAAAGGCCTTAGACTGGGAAACAGGATACAACATTGCACTTGGCATTGCAAGAGGATTAGCCTATCTCCATGAAGAGTGCAGAGATTGCATCATACACTGTGACATCAAGCCTGAGAACATTCTGCTTGATGCCTGGTGTAATCCTAAGATTTCAGATTTCGGCTTAGCAAAGCTCTTAGGCAGGGATTTTAGCCGGATTTTGACAACAATAAAAGGAACCAGACGATACCTTGCACCTGAACGGATTTCAGGGGAAGCTGTCACACCAAAAGCTGATGTCTTTAGCTATGGGATGCTGCTTTTCGAGATCATACCAGGAGGGAGAAATTGGAATTCAGGAGAAGAACTTTATAATTTCTTCCCAGCTCGTGCTGCCAAAAACATAAGCAATGGCGTTGATGTCATCTGCTTGTTACTACAGACTGGAAGCCAATGCAGACAGGGATGAAGTAATGAAGGCTTGCAATGTTGCATGCTGGTGCATTCAAGATGAAGAGAAAAAACAGACCATCATAAGGTATGTTGTACAAATCCAGGAAGGACTGAAGTTTCTAAGCCTGCAGTGCCTACGTTTATCCGAGCATTATTCTTTAACGAAGAAGATGATAACTTGTCTAGAATGCAGTGAAACAAACTGCAACACCGGCTACTTTAATCATAAGCAGTATGTAACGCAGCAAACCTCGTGAAATATTGTCCAGAACTGCAACATAAAGATACTGCTGTATATAATATTTAAAAGTAAGGCCTTACCGAGTTAGGACATCAAAATTTGGCAAAAAAGAAAAAAAAACAGACCAAAGTACAGAGTTTGGGCCCCTGAAAATATTCAGACATAACTTGACTACCAACAACATTATGAGTTTTGAGTCACATCCCTTGACAGGACACAAGAACAACAAATTTAACTAGATTTTGCCACTACGGACCTAGCTACAGCATGTGTTAAAGCCGAAGGCGTTGTCCATGACTCTTGGTGATGGTTTGATCAAGTCAGTTGCTCATAGAAGATAGATGTATCCAAATACTAGAAGCAACAGACCCACCAAACCAGCGGCAGCAGCCCACATCCAGTAGTTGGTTGACTTTTTCCGTTTCAGGATGGCTCTTGGAAGAGCATCAGGTCCTTTAGCTCGACTCCTGTGCCGAATAGAAGCATTTTCCTTTTGGAATTTTTCCTTCACAAAGGCTGGAGCAGGAACTGAAGCGTCGATATTTTCTTCAACCTTTTCAGCTTCTGAAGCCTCTGCTGCAGATTCAGACAGTTCCTCAGGATTTGTAGCAAGTCCTGAAGATGCTGCCTTCTTCTTTGCTTTCTTTTCACGCTCCTGAAATAATATCAAGAGGTTAAACATATCAGTCTTGAGATGCAAAATTATATTTAAATAGCAAAAGCTACAATAAAAAGTAAGTAAATAATTACCTTAAGTTTCTTCTCAGCTTCCTTTTGAGCTCTAATAGATGCTTTCACTGCAGCTTTCTCTGCCAACTTCTTCTTCCTTTCCATGGCTTGCTTAGCTTTTGCTATTTCCTCTTCTCTCTTCATTTCCTTCAGTTTTGCTTCATCGACCTTGTTTTCAGAAGGTTCCTTTTGCAATTTATCTGACTCAGGGATCTCATAGTCTTCAACCTTGTCATGCTCTACAGGGGATTTTGAATCTTTGACTTTCTTAACCGCATCTTTCTGGGCCTTCTGGTTAGGTTTTACATCTTGTTGAGAAGGTTTGTTATCTTCCTTTGGTTGCTTTACAATTGGTTTTGCCACTGTTTCCACCTCAGCAGGCAATTGGGCCTCAGGCAAGACTAGTGGTTTCTCATCAGGATTCCTTATCCGTCCATCTCTACTCAGTTGCCGACTGTCCAAGGATTGCAGAATTCTTTTCTCGTAATCATCCCTAAAGGCCTTGCTACCATTCCACAGAGCCATAAACTTCTCCACCTGACAAACAAGATCAAGGAGATGAAGCAGAGCAGAATTTAAGCTAAATAGATAAACAGGAATGAAAGAAGGAACCAATCTAAACAAACCTCTGCATTAGAGAGCTCCTTGAGTACACTTATATCTTTCATAGTAGCAATCTCTCTTGCTTTGCTCATCAGGCCACGACTCCGGTAAAAATGGATATTCTGAAAAAAGTACATGGAATTTCTGTTAGCCAACTCAAGAAAGTGTAATGAGAGGTTATAGGTCTTTACTCTAAAACACGTAAAACAAAATGTCAAGAAAAATTATTGTAACATATTTAAAAAAAGGACAATTATTTCTATTATTAAAGGGAGCAAACTAATTTTAGTATCTCCTAGGCAAAGCCTAAGACTTAAAAGTCCATTATAAAAGATGTCGTCACAGAAATTTCACAAACAAGCTCATATTCAGAAGTTGAAAACATAAATGACAATAGTTTTGGGAGCTCAAACTCTGTAAATTAAATTTTAAAGAAAATGTTGATGGATACCCCTTCTTCACGTTGCTTCCTCAGATCCTGGATGGTTTGAAATGCTTTGTTCCTCTTCTCTGTCAGAAGGTTCAACTCATCTTGTAAAGCAACAATCTTACTATCATATGTGTCAGCTTTCTCCTTGAGTTGCTTTCTCTTAGACTGAATTGCTTGTTGCTCCTTTCTCACTCCATCCAAATCAGCACCCATAAGCTACAATGAAATAAATATATGACTGTTAATGTGATACATTAATTATTAAATATGAATAAATTACAATAACATGGAACCACAAGCTCCCAAATAAGTTAAGAATGAATTTCCTTACCTTAACCTGATCTTGAATGACTTCTTTCTGACCCAATGAATCCTGTATCTTTGCTCTCATTGCAGCATTTGCAATAACCTTCTCCCTGGTCCCTTCAAGTTGCTTGATTTCTCTGAGAATTTGCTTCTCCTCAGCTAATGGGATGCTTTCATGCTGAATGCGATATTTCAAGCTATAGATCTGCATTCATCAAATCCAACGTGTCACTACAGCCGGAAACAATTAGCAAACATTAGAATTGTTGAAAGTAGGCAATTGAGTCAATACAAGATCATTAAGCTCTTCCTCAGATGAACATAAACCACCACGTCCACCAGAAATGTTTGTGTTGCGTAGCTTGCCCAGAGCCTGCTGCAGTGGCTCTATTTCCTTCTTTTTCTCATCCATCATACTCTTAAATTGCTCAAAATCATCCCGCAGAGACTTCAGCTGAAGAACCACCTCTGTTCGCTCTGCCTGTGGAGAACATAATAAAATACTACAATAAAAATATGGTTTAAAAATAAGTACAAGACTAAGATTACCACCAGTTCAATTTTCTACCAAAATATTTATTAAATTTAGGCTCAAAAGGCCAAACTGATAATGGAAACGAATATTATACACAATATTAGAAGCACGTAAGGACAATCCAAAGCAGCATAAGTCATTTGCATTCATAAATGTAATAGTTATTACATGATAAACAACCGAAGCATTGTAATAGTTATTATCAGAAAACTATTAGAATGGTTCTATATCTGTCACACGGTAACAATCATAAACACTTAAAAATTCATTTTTTTATGTCATTATTATGTACCCAATGCACTATCCTTAATGTCCCTCTATCTTTGGTTATAAGAAACCCTTTTAACTGCAGGTGCACTTTCATTGGACTTGGACAAGAATGGTTTGACATTTGTTTTTACATAGTCACACAATTAAAATAAATTGAATAGTTTAGCCTCTACCATATTTTCAGGAACACTTAACAAACATAATGCACTAATGAAACAGGCCCTAAAGTGGGAGGGACAGGGGAATTAAAGATATCAAGTATTTGGCAAAAGGTGATGGTACTTTACATATAGCATCTTTTTTTTTTTTTTTGGTAGAACATATAGCATCTTTGTATAGCTAATCTGAACTAGTATTAATATCGAATAAATCATAATTGACCCTTTAACAGTTCAACTCACCTTCCTGGCTTTTATGTCTTCCATAAGCTGAAACCTTGCTCGATTCAACTTTTCAATTTCTTTATCTTGCTGTTCAAGTTTGGCTTTTACCTTAGGATCATCATGAGGCCGATGCCTGACAAAATAAAAGGAGTGGATTTGGCGAGGCACAGACCAGTCATCAACTGCATCCTTTGGGAAGTTGGAATCAGATGCGTTAGTCTCTTCTCTCTGAACCGGCTCCTCTCCTTGGGAACCAAATTTTATAGCCACCTTATCACCAACATCCTGGTCCAGTTTCCCATTCTCCTTCTCATGAAGAAATGATTTCTCCACTTCAGTTACAGTCTCAACTTGCTCCATCTCGGATCCAACAACCTCAACACCCATTGATCAAGACAGTGAACTGCCACTCAAAAATCAGGTACTCAAGAGTGTCAAATCACATTAACCAAGATTAAGGATATAAAGGAGGTCATACAAAACCAATTCACTTTGCTAATTTTCTCTTTGATTGGATTAGAACAGTTAAAAAGCAACAGAATTTCCAACTGGGTAAAATAAAAAAAGATCCAATTTTTTTCAACCCCAACAAGGACCAAACATATGAATCTACAAGAACCAGATTTCACAGCCTGATCCAAACAACAAGACAAGATGAAACCCGTATGAAATGGGAGGAGTCAGATGTAAGCATGCATTCAAATTGTTAACCTACTAACACAAGAGCATGGCATAAAGGAACAGAAGAAACCCATTTAGACAAGATCAAGACTTTTCTTTAATGGGAATACAAGATCAAGCCTTTACAAATGTGCAAACCCAGCATGGAATTAATAACTGAGGAAAAACCAGTCCCAAAAAAACCCAAAAAAAAAAAAAAAAA